GACTGACCGGTTGGGTGGCCTTGCAGTCCAAGGGAGTCTTCTCCAGCACCAGAGTTCAAAGGCCTCAATTCTTTGGTGCTCAGCCTTTCTTATGGTCCAACCTTCACAGCCATCCATTGCAACTGGGAAAACCATCGCCTTGACTATACACACTATACTGTTGGCAGGGTGAAGTCTCTGCTTTTTAATATGCTGTCTAGATCTGCCATATCTTTCCTCCCCAGGAGCAAGACTCTTCTAATTTCTTGGCTGCAGTCCCCATCTGCGGTGATTTTGGAGCCCAGGAAAATAAAATCTGTCACTACCTCCATTTCTTCCCCATCTATTTGCCAGGAATTGAGAGTGCTGGATGAAAAGGAAGATTTAATCTAATGGCTCGTCCCAGAAGTCGTGGGTGCTTCTATCACTGGAGGTTTTTAAGAAGAGGTTGGACAACCATTTGTCCAGAATGCTGCAGGGTCTCCTGCTTGAGCAGGGAAGCAGACTAGAAGACCTCCAAGGTTCCTTCCAACTCTATTACTCTGTTAAGCAATCCTCAGACTCCAATTGATTTCTCATTTTAGCCACATAACATATTTTGGCTGAGTGTTTAGATGTACATGCCAGTGTGGTTGACAACAGTAAGCAAAGGCTCAGCATCTCAATGTCACGCCAAGCAATGCTAGGGAGCTAGCAAGGGCCAACCTGCTCCCTGTCACATGAAGCTAGATGGCCCAGGTAGACCTTTACTTGAGGCCATTTATATTGTGCAAACAAAGAGCGGCTATGTTTGTCTACCTGTACAAAACATGATTTGAAATTTGCACCAAACCTCGGTGTTAAATCCCCCTCCTTTGTTTTGTACATAAAATACGACATCTGCTATAGATTTGTGCACATGGTGACTTCTTGAGTGGGATATAAGTTGCTAACCATGCACAAGGCAGTGTGCAGTTCTTGGCACCCTGAAGCAGACATGGGATGCCAGAGCCATCTGAACCATGCAATTCCAGGTCTGAAGGATCAAGCGACTTCCCTGTCATTGCAGAAATTTGGGAGATCCAGATAACCTGGAAGTGGTGAGGCATGATGGAAGTTGTAGCTCAGCAACACCTGGAGAATCGTAAGTCCAATGGTGGGCTTCAAATAATTTAACCAGTTCTCTGCCATATTAATTGGCTGGGTGGGTGTGGCCAAGGGGCGCGACAGCACTCAGCCTCCTGCAGCACTCTGCCAGCC